TTCTACACGGTTTTAGGGTATTTCGCTGAAAATTGACGTAAAAATTTGAGAAATAGTCGTGGCTACAGATTTTTGGCCAGCACTGTATGCTGGGGACGATCCGAGATTAGGAAGTCGACCTTTTGTCCCTATTGGTGGTACCACATCGCTACCCATTTTGAGAATCGTCACCGCGACTTCAGTGTTGCTGAAAATCCTCTAAAAATTCGCCTTTTTCGATAAAGTAGGGGTATAACAAACATCATTATTACACTTCGGGCGAAAGACCCTGCTGGTCCGCCTTCCGTGTTGTACTAAATAACTTGGTGGCGCTGGGCGCACCAAAATCCGCAAATAGGCACAAACGCAATATTTAGCTGGTATTAATTCATGTAGTAAACCCTTACAAACGGCAGCCCGCCGGTTGCATGTAAGTGGTACCACGTCGATGAGCACTTTTAGAGCGCGCTTAGGGTCGCAGCAGAATTTGAGGTTGGCGACGTTGTTTTGCAGGCTGTGAAAATGGATGTCATGAGGAGTAATATAAGTAAGACCTGATATGCTGGCGTGCACTGTGTAGCTTATTAGGCTAAAAAATCTGGCTTATCCTGACCGGCAGTGAAGTTGGTTGTTCTGGGCGCCAAGGATTCTAATCTAGGAAAACAGGATTTAACTCAAAGACATCATCAGACCTAGTATAATGCTAATTGTACCAAGCTTACTTACAAGATTCATTATATTACTAACGAGATGGGCATCAACTATCATCAACTGATCGATGGTCACAAGCAAGAATTAGCACGTTGATAAACGAGCAGAAACTGAACAACAGGACACGTCAGCCTAGGTAGCCACCTGCTCCACGCATTCATCAATGTTTTTAACGCATATTCAATTTCTGTGCCAAAAGCTGCTTTGTTGAGTTCCAGTACATTACTAGAACAGTAATGTTCTTGAAAAGAGATTTTTGGAAAAATTTTCTCAAATAGTGCCAAACTATAGTCACTTTTGTAAGGAATTATCTTAATTATCCGATCGTCACTAAACTCCTAACAAAAAACACCGGAATTTCATTTCGCAGGGCATGGAGACTGGGCGCCGAAGCACAGGTGTCTCGGCGACAAACCTTCATGTGCTAGATCGCCCACTGAGCCGAGGCAAGAGTGAGGTAAGTCTCAGCGCATTTTCGTTTCTCTTCTCCGAGATGGTGCAATACTTTCAAGGTCGCGTGCAAAATATCTCGGATTTGGAAAATCGACTCGATGGCGCTGGATTCGGCGTGGGTGTGCGTATCGTGGAGCTGCTATGTCACCGCGAAAAGTCGGGCCGGCGGGAAACGCGTCTGCTGTCGATGTTGCAATTTATTGTATCGACGTGCTGGAAAGCTCTCTTTGGCAAAGCAGCGGACGCGTTAGAGCGTAGCACGGAGAACGAAGACGAGTACATGATTCACGAGTTGGAACCACTTACTAATAAGTTTGTGTCGGTACCACCCGATCTGGGGCAATTAGATTGTGCAGCCTACATTGCCGGTATCGTGCGCGGCATTTTGTGCAGCAGTGGCTTTGTCGCCGCAGTCACGGCGCACACAGTTGAGGTTCCTGGGGGACAGAGAGACAAAACTGTTTTCTTGGTCAAGTTTGATGAAAGTGTTCTTCGGCGTGAACGAATACTGACATGAGGAAGATCGTCATCAAGAAATTTGAAGATAGCGATATTAGTTTAAATTCGAGAGTAGTAGTAGAATGAGTGTCTATTAAACCATTCAGACGATACGCGATATTTCTGACCCCGTTGCCAACTCATTCACATTTCGCTTTACAAATTTCTCTGACCGTCTGGTACAATAACACTGCGCCGTTTACTATAGCAAAAGAATAAATAAACATCGAGCTTTTGATTAACAGTTTGATTTATCCAATATTTATTGAGTATTAAAACATTATTTTTGTTGTATCGTCTCCGAATTCGGCGCTCGACTGTCCTCATTCCTGCCCGCGATGGTTGTTATCCGCTCCGCCTCGAAGAAAGCTCCCACTGCCATCGCCATGTTTAACATGGGGGGACCGTCTACTCTACCTGAAGTGCAGAGTTTTCTCACTAACCTTTTTACAGATCCGGAACTTATTCCCATGGGCCCTGTGCAGAATTATGTCGGTCCATGGATAGCTAAGCGTCGGACTCCTCGAATTGCTGATCAATATGCGCAGATTGGCGGCGGTTCACCCATTTTAAAGTGGACTAACATTCAAGGCGAGAGTATGTGCAAGATTCTCGACGAGATTCGTCCAGAGGTGTGTACAAGCTCTGAGAAAGGTGGAAAGCCACGAAATTCATTGCATTGTGTTATTGATGTTGTAGAGTGCGCCACACAAGCACTATGTATTCTTCCGCTATGCCAACCCGCTGACAGAGCAGTCGCTAATCCAGATGAAGGAGGATGGTGTCACTCGTGCGATCGCCTTCTCGCAGTACCCACAATGGTCATGCACGACATCAGGATCCAGTATGAATCACTTGTGGCGTGAACTCGATCGTTTGAACATGAAAGAGGATTTTAAGTGGTCAGTAATTGACCGCTGGAATACTCACCCAGGGTACATTTCGGCGCTGGTGAAATGTGTCACGAAGGGCCTCGAGCAGTACGCAGCGGAAGATCGCGACAAAGTGATCATCATGTTCTCAGCTCACTCTGTGCCCATGAAAACAGTGTACAAGGGTGATTCGTATGTGAACGAGATTGCTGCTACGGCCGACCGCGTGATGAAACAATTTGCAGGAAAAAATCCGCACATTCTAAGCTGGCAGTCAAAGGTTGGCTACTTGCCATGGATGGGACCGAGCACCAGCGACGTGATTGAGCGGTTCGGAAAACAGGGCCACAAGTGTGTTTATATATGATAGAGCTTAGTCGAATGGGGATATTGATGTTTTTGGTGCTGCTGTTGACGACTATAGACACGTTATGGCTGTACCCGTTGCGTTTACGTCGGACCACATCGAGACTCTGTATGAGATCGATATTGAGTATGGAGAAGAAGCGAAGGCTGCTGGCATTGCTGTGCGTTGTTGTTACTTAATAACGTCGATTCTTACGTCATTTTATCGCTTACATTTGCTGTCATCCTTTGACGCAGAACTTTACGCGATGCCCGTCTTTGAATGATGAACCCCTGCTGTTTAAGGCACAAGCCGACATTGTGAAGGAACACTTGGACTCAAACATGTTACATTCGAGCGCTTATCCTCTCAATTGCGCAGGATGCACGAATCCCATGTGCCGTACCATCGTAAATCCGGTTAAAGCTTACGAAAAGCTTTTGTAGTAGAAATCTTATCACGTTAAATGCAATTTTGCACTTGTCAAATTCAAATACCACGTGTTTTTCTTAAATTTGTACAGTTGGCGTATATTTATGCTGTCATCACGTGAAAGGCTATTAGAACGTCAAGGGCAACACGCCCCGCCCCGCCACGAATACTTGCAGCAAATTATTGGCGAATTCCAGCATTCACCTGATCTTCTTCGGAAAGAAGAAATCATTGCGAATCTAGCAAATTTTGCTTATGATCCCATCAACTACGCGTCTCTTGGTCATCTACGAATCATGAAGTTTTTTCTCGACATCCTAGTCGATGATCAAAATGGCGAAGGTAACCAAAATGGCGAAGCTATCTTGAGATCCAAATCCCAGACTAAAAAAGAATTAACCCGAATTTATAGTTTACACAAGAAACATTTGGTGGAGTTTGCCTTGGGAGGCATCTGTAATTGCATTCCGGACCCCACACTGCAGCAAGATTTTATAAAGGATGATGGAGTGAAGATCGTGGCACCTTATATTCTCAACTTTTCGCTCGAAAAAGAATTAACGTCCACCTCGGAGCTCAATGTGATTGTATTCAGTATTACAATCGCGTACTTCCTACTAGACTCAAGTGCATTTGCCGAAATTACTTCTGACAAATTCTTGGACAAGCTCAAGTCACTTCAGAGCCATCGCACAGTGCAAATTGCAAACACCGCAGCTTCATTTTTCAGTCGGCATTTAGAGTTAACGCAAAGTAGTAATAATAAGTCTGTTGTATCGTAAAATAACCTACTAATTTTGACGAGAGCCATATCTGGTACAATATGATGCTCTTCGAGTTGGGCGAAGACGAGTTGGAGACGCTGCTGGAGATATTAAAATACATCTTGTTTGGAACAAACGTCATCCTATTCTTGTTCGCGGGCTTAATCTTCTTAACATCTTCACTAAATGAAGAGTCGAGGCCCTTGTCAGCTGTAGCGCTACAAAGGCGCGCATTGATCGTCACTGCACATCCGGATGACGAGAGCATGTTTTTCTTGCCGTTGGTGCACTCATTACAGCAGTCCCCGAAGGATAATAACGATGTTTGGCAAATTCACTTGTTGTGTCTTTCGCAAGGCAATTTTGACGGATTAGGAGATGTCAGAGTGAAGGAGTTAAAAGCTAGTGCCTCATACATCGGGTTATCATCAGGTCACATCAATGTTCTGGAAGACTTTAAACTTCAAGACGGAATGATGAAGCAATGGGAGGTGTCATATATTGCTAAAATTGTGACAAAGTATATAGAAGAGCACACAATCGATACGGTGAGATGTTATGCTGCTTACGAGGTGTGGGAGCGGTGGACATTGATATATGGTGGTTTGGTCAACTGTAGGTCTTTACGTTTGATGACTATGGCGTGTCAGGCCATCCCAACCACATTGCCAGCTACTATGGTGTGAGTCAAGCTATTCGTGAATTGGAGCACAAGTGCAGTGCAGCGACGGCATCAGATAATACGAGGATCGTGCGAGGCTGGGCTCTTCAGAGTACTAATATCCTGCGTAAATACCTGGGCGTGTTGGACATGGCACTATCTTATTGGGAATCACGTGGTACTAAACAACATTTTGTGTTTGTTTTTCGCCCAAGATGGAACTACAATGCAATGGCTCTACATCGTAGTCAATTTGTATGGTACCGTCGCCTTTTCGTAATCTTCTCTCGCTATACATTTATCAACACATTTCGGTCCATGTCGTCGATTGACACAAATTCAACGGCGGCAGAGCGAAAGAAGCTACAGTAGACGTAGGAATAATGACTGAGTTTGGTAGTCGTCATCGGACTCTTCAGCAACAATTTTAGTCACTCTGTCAGAAACCACGTCGGATATCGATTGTTGTCTTCCGCTTTAATCGGTCTGTGTACAGGAACCTATTAGGTTTACTAGTATATTGCTGTTGTAATAAAAAATGTTGACGTACTCAAAAGCACGGCATCACGACGACGCACGTCAGGTGGATCCTGTAATAATTCTGTTAGACTTGTAGCAATGCCTGATGGAGAGATCACATTATCAATTATTGCTGCAGCCTTTGGTCGCTTGTGTAAAATGCACTGCCCAGTACGCAATCGAGCAATTGCTACACGCACGTGAGTCCCACATACCAAAACTAATTTCACCTCATCACTTGTAATTTCCGATATAAACCCAAAGAAATCTTCCTCCGTTAGCTGAGATATCAAAACTACCGCATCTCCTACTTCAAATGTCTGGTCCGCATCTTCACCGTGCGTATTTTTCGTCTGACAACGCAGCTTTTGACCATGCTCCATGATAGTGATGTGTATACCCGGATCTACACCTTCTTCCATCGTCCTTTTAACTGCTTCTTCACGGTCTCGACTCCGTCGCAACTTCTTACATTCTTCGATAACATCACTTACAATCCTTTCAGGTGTCGGCAGCACGCCACCCGACAAGTGTCTAAAGTTAAAGTTTTTTCTCGTTCGCTTTTGAGCTCGTCTAAGCTGTTGTTCCAACAACTTGGGGTGTAATTTTTTTCCTTTTAGATCCGCAAAATCATCACTGTTTTCTTCGACCTTGAAGTTACTCCTAGTTTTCAGCTTATCATTCAGTGCCATCAATCGCTGTTCGACTATCGCTCGTCTACGACGTGTATCTTCCAGCATCTTGCATTTAAGTTTCTGCCTTTGCGCCCGGTAAACATCATCAGCTTGCTTCAGGTCAAAGTCCAGCAAACTAAGCGCATCCTGCTGAGAAAATTCGAGCTGCTTCTCGGCCACCTTCAGCTCGCAATTCTTGTCCGCTTCAAAAGGTTTGCAACGCCGTACATATTCTTCTAATACGTCATTTTTTAACCGTTCTTGCTGTCGTAGAACACGGTCAATACTTTCTTGGTAGATCTGACGCTCGAGCTCCAGCAACTCACGCACATTTAGCTCGCGGCGCTCAGCCATTACTACTTTCAAGTAGCTAAAATGTATCCTATACATAAATAGTTAATCAATCCTGCTATGGAACATATGTACAATCTGCATGCCATATATCAGTTTTCAGCCAGTTTCAAATTTTCAATGCGTCTCCTCAGCTTGTCGTCGTTAGCCCTGCTACTGCTTCAGCTGTGCGGCTTGGAGGCCTCAACCATGACGGCAGGTACTCCGGAGCACCTGGTCACAATAGGTGGTAAATGTGTGCGTCTATTTCATTCTGGCGGTAGCATTGGTTGCCGCAGCCTCTCGAATTCAGACATAGCACCTCTGTATCCAATCAGAAGTTCTGCTGAGCTCCAGAGCTTCATTTTAGGCTCAGCTGTCCAACAAAAAGCTCACTCAAAGTACGTCCTGGTGATGGATGAAGCTTTAATGAGCTACGATACTATAGCTCCTGGAATCGACCTTATTGGAGGAATCTTGCTGTATCCAGGCTCGACCAACGCGTCATTCGACGCCCCAATGCCTCAAGGAAATGGAACTGTAGATGGAGCGCTAAATCCATTCGAAAGTGACGATTTGCAGTGGAATCCAACTGGTAATGGGCTGCTTACTGAGTTACTTCCGTTTCCCATCGTGATGCTTGAGAATTCCACAATTGGAGCAGAGTTTACGAAACGCGGCCGATTGAATTTAAAAAACGCTGCAGGTCCAACATACAAGGCTTTCATGAATTATTACTTTGGACCAGAAAAAATGAACTCGCTAAAATGTTTATCTTTCACTAACATCTACGGAGACCGCAGTCCAATGTGTGATCCTATTGGTGGACAGAGTTCGTGGGCTATGAGAGGTAATTTGGCGTCAAAGGAGATTGTCATGGCTATGGCAGGGATGGATGCTACCGCTTTGTCCCCTGTCTTGGCTCCTGGGGCTAACACGGGTGCATCAGGAATTGTGGCTTTGCTAGCCGCGGCCCATGCGCTTAAAGGTCTGCCAGAGTCAGCGTTCGATAAAAAAGTCGTGTTTGCAGCCTTTCAAGCCGAGAAATATGGCTTTGTTGGCTCAAGAAAATTTCTTTCGGATCTGCAAAAATTTACAAACGACCCCGAAGGTGCTTGCGCCTTCCCTGTTACTGGCTCGAAGTCACCTATGGGCGCAAATTTTTGCACTTCTCCGATGCTTAGTAGCACAGAATTTGCTAACTTGAAGCTCACCAATATTTTGTATGCTATTGCAGTTGATCAGGTAGGCATTCTACCGGAATCTGGTAATTTTACATTGCATGTGAACCCATACGCGAACGACTCTAGCGATCTTGTAGATGCCGTTTTGAACGCCCCGTCAGCTGCTTCAGCTGTGGTCGAAGGCAGTACTGGGTCTCTACCACCTACCCCACTAACAGCATTTGTAAATGAGGCTGAGTATGGTCGACGTGAGCTTGCTGGCGCTGTGCTAGCTGGGTATGACGAAAGTTACACTTCAAAAAACACGTACAATAGTCGACATGACGATTTAAGCGGCGTTAATATCGACGCGGTCGTACAAGCTGCTCAGGTTTTAGCGGAAAGTGTGTTCACACTTGCGTCAAGCAATGCAACGGCTAGACAGCTGAGTGAAATCACAGTGGACAAGTGGCTTGTAAATTCAATGCTCACATGTATCACGACTGACTGGAATTGTGATTTGATGACAAATTACTCGCAATATATGGTGACGACATTAAAAGAATATCTGAGTCTGACCGAGTCGGCAACGCCATCGTATTCTGAGCCCGCGACACTTTACTCAGGTCCACTGAATCATGACCGTTTAACTCTTGTGCTGCAAAAGAGTGATGGTTCTCTGTACTCTCTTTTTAATGGATCGTGGTCGGATAGTGATTATGCGGTGCGTTTGTTTCCCAATGCGTACGAAATTTTCACGCGCGCTTTTCTTGCGTCTGCCATGGTGCCCAATGCTACAGTAGACACGGCTCCTTCGTGCACAAAAACTCAAACATGCAGTGATGGTGGAAATGGCATCGAGTGTGTCTACCCTGGGGTTTGTGCCACAAAGAGAGCGTTTCATCACGAAGCCAGCTCACCAGGAATTCAGCGCACGTTTACAGCTCTACAGTTTGATATTGTGAATTCATCGATGCCAATTTGGGCAGAACCACAATGGGCGACGGATATTGGCAGCTTTTCGTTTCCGGATCCTGGCGCTTGGATCGGTTGGATTGCACTCGCTATTGGTTTGGCTGTGTCAGCGCTTGGTTGTTGTGTGGCGTATATGGTGCTTAGAAGCGTGCAGAAGATGAAACTAATGTAGGCAGCAAGCATGAATCAATCGGGCGTCAGGTTACTGGATATATAAAAGCACAAGAAATTTGTGTCGATTAAGACTTTAACTGTACCGCATCTGTCATGCTACATTACGTATTAATAATGGTCAGAGATAAAGTAAACTTCAGTAAATCTTGTCTACCGACAAAGAATCTAACAGCGAACAAGCTATTTAGCCATCGCCCTCGTCTCCATTTGCTCTTGAATCGTCATCATTGTTGCCGACATCAAAATGACCAATTGGAATAATATCTGCTGTGCCGTAACAAGCGCAGTCACCTTCGCAGGCGAAAAATGCCACGAATATGATACTTAGAAACAGCAAGAAAAGGACCATGTCGGTGTAAAAGAATACCACACCTTGCATGTACTCGTCCGGAGAGAGTCTTTCGTTCATACATGATGCATCATAAGCAAACCACATGATGAGCAACATCATGGCAGCGAGTGATGCACTAAATTGTAATGGCGACACCACATCCATCATGTAAAAAAAATAAATGAATAGCGAAGTCACAAAGCCAGCGAAAAAGGCGATTATAAGCACAACCGGATAGCTAATTAAGGTCGGTTGAATGTTTTCATCAAACGAACGTTTGGTAATGATCGTACAAAGTAACGTAGCTACACCCATGATACCAAAAAGAAAGCTAAACATGAACAGACTGGCCTTTGTTTTTAAATAGCAGTCAAAAGCGGTAAAAAAAACACTTTGTGTGATAGAATACGCTCCAAGAACCATGAAGTTGAGAGGAAACCGATATTTTACGAGGTATAGCCACAACAGTGCTAGAATCATGATTACAAATGTCATAATGACGTATTGCCAGCAGGAAAACGTTTTCTCAAAAAATTTGGCGATTGGTGGCAAGTACGATAAAAAAGCAACAAGTAAAACAACTGCAAGTAATTGTATAGTGAAAATCGTAAAAAGTTTACGACGAAAGCCCTGTTGGATCTCCACTGGCATATGAATGACTGCGAAAGGATCATCCATCGGATTCGATCCAGTTTGGAACACAGAAAGCGAGATTATAGTTCGAGATTCCATAAAATTCGCATCAAATCGTTTTTTGACCATATCAAAAAACTTCATGTCTGTCTCAGTTGCTTTGCCAGATACTTTTTTGTCCTCTAAATGTTTCATTAGAATCGAACCTCGACGGTAGTGTGCCTTGTGCTTAGTTGGATCCATCTTGTCGTCCTCATGGAATAGCTTTGTCATACGACTTACCAATTTGCGCACTGATCCTTGATTGACAATGCCATGTGTTCGGTCTGGAAAGCTTACGGCACCTGACGAATCTTGAGACTCTTTAAGTCGGTCGATACCACAGTTTGGCATTGGACTTGCCCATGCATGTTCCCCTGAGTTATGTCCATCAACGGTAAAAGAACTCTCCCCAGCTTCAAGCCTTCGATGTGACATGTCTTCGGATTCCACAGAGTCATCAGATGCCATTTCCATCATTTTACGGCACTAGAACCCAAAGTATCTGGTTTAATCTGCAAGTAAACGAAGTTTGACACCCTTGGTTTCAGCCCCACATTGTGGTCTATTTCTGGAATAGGCTCCATGCATGTTGGTATTACATTACTTCGTACTAATTATAATGCTACTGACATATGTCAATTATGTGAATTACCTCATTTTGGAGCAAATCCAGTAAATCTGACACCGGTACTGAAACCGTTACCATCTGCTTGTGCATAGAGAGCCGGGAAACCGCGATGCGCACTCGCTGCGCAATACAACGAAACATTGCACTTGCACATTAGCATCACTCACTTTTCACTTTTCTCCCCTATCTCACCTCTGTTTTCCTTCAAGTCTCTACTTCTGTAAAATATATATACAGTCAAGTATGGGCGAGGCGAGCGCGCCTGCAGTTGTCACAACATCATCTCCTGTGGTGACGTCCCCCGGTGTTTCGCCTGCGTTCGCATTGAGTAGTAGTCGCACTGGTCGGAATTTACGTAAAAAGATGGTGGACGAGCTCAAGAACGTCAAGCTACGTAGAAGTCCAGCACATAAGGAAAAGCACTCAACACGTGGCACTCCACCGGTGCTCGAGCTTAATGAGAGCGCGGACGACGAGGAGGAAGATGTGGTGCAGGATCCGCATGCAATTGGAAAAGGAAAGGGCTGCAACATCTGCGAACGGTCATTTACCGTGTTTCGGGCAAAGCACACATGCAAAATGTGTGCGCAAAAGATTTGTGATGACTGCAGTAAGAATCGAATGAAACTGAACCGTCGTTTAGAGCGCAAACGAGGTTCGAGACTTTGTGATCCGTGCGCGAAGAGCTATTTGCATATAGATACTGGAAGTGGCGATGACACGGCACTTCCAGATGTATCTCCAGCACTTCCATCGGTGCATTGTGACGATGTACTCACGCAAAACGGGGAAGTTACGAATAAGCTGTCGCGTCAACACTCGGTGCCATCGAGGACGCTAACGTCGCTGATCCACACTAAGGACAAACTTTCGGATCCGGACGTCGTCTTGTCTACGAAGCAGTATCGATTTTCACAGTCAAAAGCGAATGAGCGGGTCTTGCACGTCTCGCATCTCCGAATGCGTCACTGGTTGTCACTTGGAATCGTTGCAGTGCTGGTGACGTTACGTGTCATCCACTACAATTGCAGCGTTGACGTAAATAGAAGTGCTGTAGCTTCCGATACTGGTCTAGCTGCACCGACTTATTCTTTTGTGGAGCATGCTTTGGATGAGCTGCTTTCAATGCGTACATTGGGTACGTACTTGCTGGGTCTTATTCTTTTTGATGAGCTGTCGCGTCCTAAGAGCAGCAAGATGGGCTCAAAGCAGCGGCGTAAGGCCAAGCGGCGTCGTTCTAGTATCGAGCATTTACATAACACCAAACCTATTTTGTCGGAACTATCTGTTGCGAATCAGCGTGATGCGGTCGAGTCTTCCGCTCCGTCGTCACCTCACACGTCCCAGGACGACGATCTAGAGGTGACGTTGATTGAATCGAATCAAGAGGATGAGATATTTACTCTCGAGAAGCTTGTTTTATCACTGGAAGAAGGTGCCCGAACGCGTGCTCCTGATGGCAACTTGGGCCTTGGTTGCTTCATGGCAACGTGCAACGTCATTTGTGGATTTCTTGGCGTTTTTGGCCGTGCCACTTCATTTGCCGGTAGTACTGTTGGTGCCTACTTTACGGCTATCGAGCACAATACAGAGGCATGGTCTGTGCCTGCGTCGTCTGACACATGGAAGCAACAGAGTGTCAAAGCAGTTGTTGACCACGAAGTGAGCCTTGGCGTCGCAGATGTGGGTGGCAAAAAGAAGCCATCGTGCTCACGCTGTCTGTTGCGATTGCTGTGGTTCGTTCAGTTTGTAGAGGCTTGTATCCGTCTCACCTTGCTTGAATCTACAGACGAGGACTGTTACAATGGGGCTAGTAAAGCTTACGAGGAAACCCTTGGCAAACGTCACCCTTGGCTTGTGCGTAAAGGCGTAAATACGGCACTAGGCTCGATACCCACGCGTAGTCACATTTTGAGTGAGCTTCATGTTGGCGAAGGCGATGCGATGGAAATTTTGGCTCAAGTGCATTCTGATTTGGTGCGTGTCATTGCTGAGCTGAAGATCGTCTTCGAAGAGCATGGACTGACAGATCTCAAGTAACTGTTATTAGTGCACATCACAAACTACTTGCATTACCATTTGTACTTTGTACGTACTTGTGTTGGTCCAGGACAACAGTCCAAAATGATGTGGCGGTGGAATTTATGCAACTTGCTGATCAAATAAATACTGTAAGCTGGGAAATCGACTTATACTTATACTTACCATAGAAACTGTTGTTCAATTCAGACATTTAACTCAAATCATTGCAAAGAAGACAAGAAATTGTACTGACAACATTATGTTCAGCTATCGAGCTTTGAATTCAAGAAACACATTAAGATACGAGCCGAATATTTATTGCTAGTGAGTATGGGCAATGATCAGGCAGCATAATTTCGCGGCAGTCATATCAGTCGATGAAACTGTTACAGTTCAATGCCCGTATATGTAGAAATAAGGAAACCACGAACAAGGTTTATTCTCTTACCAGCTAGGTCTCTTTCCTTTCCACGTCTCTCTTATGGCCTTGTAAGGTACTATCAGAGTGTTTGATAACATTTCCTGTGGAAGCGATGACATGGGGTACGAAAAGTACAGTGTCACAATTCCGTTTGTGGCAACGCTTCTTCGAAGATTAAATCGACTAAATCAAACACCTGAAAAAAACACCAAACTCCGCCGCAGTGCATACTTTCTGCCTCATTCAGCATCCGTCATCTGTCTTCAAGCGCTAAACAGCAGAACAATGCAAAAGCATCCGAGAAATGAACAAAGGAATGAGCAGAAGAAATCGTCGATGTCAAAGGCTGGGATGGAGACTGGCGTCATCAACGATCTCGGCCTTGCAATCGACTAATCAGACGATGCAACATTGCTTGCTTGTGCTGATGTCGTTTTTGCATCGAAAAAATTGGTGCTGAGTCTAGCGTTGCATTGCAAGCCTTGTTGTCAAACCTCGTCCTCGCAAACAATGCAATTTTTTTAATATTGGCATCAGCAGAGTGTTTGTCGAATATGGAGAAATGACGCAGGTACTCAATGCACCCCAAATGTGCTAGCATGGCTGGTCTCAGCGCTGCAAGATTCTAGAAAGGTTGCACTTTTGAAATTGACGTTTTTCGCACTGATAAAATATGCTAATGCTGTAATTACCCTAATCCACAAAGCAGATGAGTGCTTGTCACTCGAATGTTATCTCAGTGAAATGTTCTGCAATACTCGTCTATGTCCTTACAACAGTGTGCAACTCTTTGGACCTGCTTTGCGCTATTACGAAATTCTACGTACTGGAAGTTGGGAAGAGGGGGAAGGTGTGACCGGCATAGAAGTGTAAATTGTGAAGAAAGCTTCAAAGCTTTGAGACTTCTTCTCTCATCTTCGTTTTGTCGTGATATTTACAGTCAAAATTCGTCTATCCGACCATAAGGCGGATGTGCGTCTACCTGGCGCCGCGATGGCGACGACGCTTATCTCGTCTACTGCTGTCGATAATGCTAATGCTGATGATTGCTGACGGGCGTACACTCCGTGGGCTCAAGACAGGTTCCGACTTAGAGTACGATGACAATCAAAAAGTCGGCGTCGTTGCGACTGATACACATCAAAGCACTTCAGTTGTGGCATGGAACCCTCGAAGAGGCACTAAACAGAGCGACGAAAAGTCCGTGTCCTTTGATAACTTAATGAACACGAATATGATGCCGTGTCCAAAAAACCATTCGGGAATGGTGATGATCAGCACGTCAAAACTTACTCCAACACAAATTGGCGATAGCAATTACAAGGTCATTGCATCGAGGACGCAGACTGACGATCACGATAAACATGGATTATTAGGCAGTAAGATCAGCAACGAACAATTGTCGAATAACAAGCCTGGCCACACGAAGAGACTTCACGAGGAGATGCCTGCGTCTTTTGTGCCTATGACTCCAAGTCCGACGAACACTCCGACTGCAACATTTTTAGATCAAAAGTTACCACAATCGTTTCATGCCGTTCCGGAGAGCTCTCTGTCGTCTGATTTTAGCGAGTTGGAAGATGAGAGGGAATCGATTTCGCATTCTGACACCACAAAAAGCGCCGAGGCGCTCGACAATCACCAAAAATCGTCCTCTTTCACATCGGAAACCAGGTCGCTTGAGCAATCGATTGTGGAACTAATCGTTATTATTATAGGGACTATTGCGGGCTTGTTAGCCTTTGCATCGCGCCAGATTCTGAAGGAAATGGGAGATGATGATGATGCTAGTTTTTTCTAGCTCACAGAGATGTGGGGATGAATGGAATGAAGTTGTAAATTGTACTGCGTCTGGCGTGTTCTCAATGGAAAGTGATTAGCAGGTCTCGCCGAGCAACAAAAGTTACCTTAAATAATTCAGCACACTAGGGAGAAACATGCTGCTGCTCAAACATCGCGATTTATTATTTCAAAGCAGTTTAAGAGATTCTAACCCTTTAAGCACAATGAATCTACGCTATTTTAGGCTTCGAGTAAGCACGATTGCGCTGCGTGAGCATGTGCTTGTACATGACAGGAAGTCCTGGGACGTACACAAGCAGCACGAGAATGACTATCATGTAGAGCGAGATGGAGACGTTGTACGTATTAGGTAGCTGAATCGAGTATGCGCCCTTGGACAAGTAGCCCAGAGCGCTTATCATGCATAGCACTTCACCTGACCGAGTGATCAAACACGTCAAAAAGTTTTGTCAGAGCAAGACTTCAACATATCAAAGTGATTAATTAAATACCGAAAACACCGGACGGGTAAAGCATCATAAAGAGATGATAGCGCAGAAAGAAAAGAACGCTAGGCACCGCGTGATAAAGGTTGAGAGCATAGAAGGAGTAACGCGGCACTTCCACAAGGCTCCAACTTGTCACCATAAGCAGAAAGCCGAACTGGTAGC